ATTAAAGTCACCAGAGAGCTGAGAGTCCAGGGTGGACTCCACAGTGTTGCCAGTCTTCCCGACCCAGTCTCTCCACCTCTGAACCAGAGTGTCCCCAATTCCTGGGCTCTGGGGGAATTCAGAGTCTCACTGCTTCCAGGCTGACCCCAATGAGAAATGTCTGCACTGGCTTTTCACTTACAATTCATCTCAATATCATCTAAGGATAAGAATTACAGCTGAAAAACGGTGCCTGTGTCCCTGCAACCCCCTCCCACCCCCATTGGCATCCAGACCCTAAAGTGAATGTTCTTGGCCCTCCTCCCCACTCTTCCATCACAGGCAATTTTCTTTTCCTCCTTCATGTTTCCAAAACAGTTTATCTTTTTATCTCCTTGGAAGAAAAGTACTCGGCAAATCAAAGGTATCATTAGTATTGTTATTATTTTGCTATTGAAATCTCTTGAATTCATTCTGGATTATTCATGTGCTTTTTTGGGTCTGCAATATAATGCTGCCTAAGTCACCCCCACTGGGCTGAACAAAAAAGAAAAATTGCATCTTCAGGCCCTAATCCCTGCTCCACCCGGTCTCCTGCTGGCCCTGGCTCCTGCCAACACAAGCACCCACCAGGCAGAGCTGCTCCTTGGTACCAGGCCGAGCTCGCTGCACCATGTTCCAAGTGAAACCCTCCTTTGTCACCCAGAGGGAGGCTCCTCTAAGTGCAATGTGAAGGCATGGACCCTACCAGACAGCCCTCTCCCCCTGGGGCGTTTCTCTTCCCTCCTCAATAGTCTGGCTGGTAACTGCGAACTCCCTGCTGGGCAGCAGACAGGGGACCACCCCCACGCCCCCCACACTAGCTGAGTCCCAGTTCCCCTCACCCAGAAGATCTATGAAAGAAGCGGTCCTACACCCTTGGCAGCTGAATATCGACCTTCCCGGACAAAAGAGGCAATTCTTCCTCCTCTAGACAAGACGTCATGCCACTTGGGGTGTCCGTGGGGGGAGAATTGTACTTACTAGTGGCCTCATCTTTTGTTAGATGACATTTCTGGGTTCAGATAAATGTCTCCAAAGTTAGTGTTCACTCCCAATTTCTTGTTCCAATGCTTTCCTCCCTTAAGATCTCCTGCATCCTTCTAAGGGTCTCCAAAATGTGCATGCTCTCTTCTGGTGCCCTGTCCCACCCCCAAAGGGAGCTCCTGGCAGGTTCAAGCCTCCTGTGGTGGCTCCTCCACCCATGCTTCCTGCCATCTCTGAGGCTCCCTTCAGCCTGGCCAGTTCTCTCCACTTGTCTCCATTTTGTCCTTCTGTCTGCTTGGAGGCGCACTTCACCATGCCCCTCTCTGCCCCTCTGGTGGCCATCTGACCCTTCTGCTGGTTCCTGCCAGCAAGTCAGAAGAGGCTTTGGCTTAGATTCTTCCCACTGGGGAGGTGGTGCCCCATGTACATACTGAACTGAAATGTGGCACTCATTAAATACAAGTGCTTACTTTCTCCACACATACAGCGTGGCATGGCACACAAGTAAAGCCCGCAAGAGGTCTGGGTTCAGCAGACAGAACTTTTAGACACTCAAAGTGACAAGGAAGGGCAGGCCACTCTGGTAACATGAGAGCAAAATGTCAGGGTGGGGAGAACACCTTTCCTAGGGACACCTGGAGTGTGCACCACAGCACCTCCCCCAAATTGTCCCAGAACTCATGATCCATGGGGAAGGGAGGTCTCTTTGGACCCCGAGAACATTATCCTCTAAAGCTTCTTAGAAGGGACTTACTGTGCAGGCTGACTGCATGGGTCTTGATGATGAAGAAGGGCACAGATGGAAATAGTTTTGGGCAAACTGAAATGATAAAGGGAAAAATATAGCAAGTTCTAAGTTTACGGATGACAAGAGAATCGATTCTTTTTCACCCAGGGGCTGAACATGCCTCTTCTCTGCGGGAGGCAAATTGTGCTGTGACATTATCCCTCCATGTACAAAGCACGTGGCCCTGACAGCTGAAGGAAGAGGCACCCACAAGAGAGGAGCCCACGAGCAGCACACCCTGGCAGCTCTGCATTTCCTAGCTGGGAGCCAAGCCTGGGGATGTTGGCAGGGGTAGGAGGTGGGATGTCACTGGACTTCTCTATGGCCACCTTAAGAAAGATAAATATTTGAAGAGCCCAAACTTTACAAAAATAGGGATATACAGTGTATCCCTGGCATTGCTCAGACCTTCACTTTACTCTACTACGGGTCGTGAAAACAAAGTAAAGGCGAGTAAATGTTTGACAAACTAGGAGAGAAGGGATGGCTCGAAGGGACTGGAAGGCTTTACCTGTTTGGCCGTGGGAGCTGTCAGAGCTGTGTTTGGAGAACTTCCTCTGTGTGGGAACTGAGACAAGTGGAGCAGGAAGCATGTGAGTTGTTTCCAGAAACCCCAAAGTGACATGCAGGTCCCTGCTGCGAGGTGTGGAGCAGCAGATGGATATGTCACCAGAGGGCCAGAGAACGCCTCAAGAGAAGGCTGGACATTTGTTTCTCTGAGCTGAGGGCCATCCCTGCATCCCAGAACATGGCTTTGGAAAGCATCCCAGGAGAAGCAGCATGTGAGACATGGAGCCAGATGAGTGGGGGGAGGGGGGTTGTGGGTCTCTGTGGGGGTGCCAGGCGGGACGCAGCCTAACTCAGGGGGATGACAGCCGGTGCCATCCCGAGCTGTGAGCTGGTCTGCCCATGACCTGTTGACAGTGGATACACTCAGTCCACTAGCTAAATAAATACATTGCACCGGGAGCAGTGAGTAGCGAATACGAACGAAGTATGTATATGAAGAGGGGCAAATAGAATCCTCTGGGGAATTCACAGTACTCACAACGACATCCACATTAAAACCAATGTCCACAGATCAGGTCAAAGGACATCCCATCACAAGGAAGTCCGACAAACACTGTCCCACTAGACCCTCCACTCCCATAGTCAGATCCCATCTCTTCGCTGGAACTACAGTGTCCAGGGATGCAGGTTGTTCTGACTGGACACATCCACTTTGCTCTCATTCTAAGGTTCTTTAGATCTTCAAGTCTTGTGTTCTATGCATCTACCATTTGGGAGGGTGGGCAGTGCTAGCCCAAGCCAGAACTTTCGGGAATAATAAGGAACTATGAGTTACACGAGGCTGTGGTTTCTTCCTTGTGCCCTTAGGACCAAGGGTACATGCAACAAGCATTTAACATTGATAGGTAAATATTTAAAAATTCATAGCAGGCAGTCAAGAACTAGCTCCACACTGAGAAAGGAATAAGCAAAGTAGGAGACGCACCCTAAGACGATTCAGACACTGGGAGGCGGTTAAGGTGCACCCACACATAGGCTCCTAATGGCAGTCCAGAGCCAGAGAAGACACAAAACATGGTTCAGCTTCTAAGAACATACACGACTTTGATATGTACACTGGCCCCATGAACATGTGTGGAGGCGGGGATGCTGGGTGCTTGTGGGTGCTTTTGGGGGAACCTCTATGCAACTTCTTGTGCCCTAGGTTGTATTTGTGCACATCAAGGAGCGTGCACAACTTCAAGAAAGAGGGTAATCTCACAAATGGTAATATAACTCAAACTGTTTCTATACCAGTGTTCTGAGATAGTTCTTATTCATTCAGCCTGAAAACTCTTGGGAAGGCAATTTATCTTCCTGCTGCCGTAGGGAGTCCTGGAGAGAGGCACACAGCCATAAGCACACATCAATGCGTGTGGTTGTGTGTGAGTGTGCACATGCACATTTTAATTATAGCAGACATAATACTGTCCTCACTCATATGGAGGGTGATGATACCCTCAGGTGTCATCAGGATGGTTATAACCAAGTTCAAGAAGGAAAAAGAAAAATGTGCAGTGCCCATAAGTACCCGTGGAAGAGCTGAGGAAGGAGACCTGGGTTTCTGCTTACACCTGGCTTCTTTCTCCCTGGAAGGAGACATGCTGTTTGCTTGCAAAGTCAGCCACCCATGGTGGTGCTCTGCTTTCTCGAAAACTTTTACCCTTCATTTAATCAACAGATGGACATGCTCTGTTGTGGATTTTTTTCTGAGAGAGCCCTGTCCCTCTAAGTGCTGAGCTGGCTGGCACAAATGCAGCCTCAGATGGCAAAGGCAGCCTTGGCATTCAAAAGAGTGGGTAGGAACCGTTTGGTTTACTCCCCCCCCCCCACTCCAAACGCAATTCCACAGGTGACTTTAGATGCCTTTGGCTAAGCAGGCACTCACAATCCTCCTCCTGCTTTCCCACCCCTTCTTTCACCACTACCAGCCCCAAGGCTCCAGGCTCCCAGTGGCAAAGTTCTTTTAGGAATGTCCATCAGCTCCTCTGCCCCTGCTAGGCTGCAGAAAGGAAGCAATCAGCACCAGGGGCGAAATTTCATTTTATACCCTGAATCTAGTGCTGCGTAGGACTCAGAATTCACTTGTATTCAGAGAACTCAATTAAATTCAATGAAACTCTTTACAAGCTTTTCTCAACCACTGCAGATTATACATTCGGTAATTGCAGCCCCTTCTGCAACTGTGCAACCACACACATTCGCCTTTGAACATACTCATGCAAGTCAGACCTTATTCAGCTGAAATACCCACCTAAACAAAGCTCTCCTTCCCTACCCTGCCTTCTCCAACGTGGGTCTGAGGGAGAGGAGGTGGCTAGAAGTTCAGGGCGGCATATCCACATAGATCTTGCCTAATTAACACACTCAGAGCATAAAGAACTCATTTGCATTGGAGAGTTTGAGCAGGATGCTGACAAGTGAGAGGAGAAAGTCACCCCCCCCCCATACCCCTTCCTTCCAAAGGAAAATAAACAGTACCATTTTGTTGCATTTTCAAAGGCAAAGAAGCAATGCCAGTGCATCTCGGCCGGGCAAGGAGAGACGCATCAATCAGTCGAGTTTCCGAAGCCTACCCAGATTCCTGCTCTCAGCCTCCCGCGCCCTGACAACCCAGCCGACTTTCTTTGCAACTCCGGCAGCAGCGCATGGGTCCTACCTTGACTGAAAAGGAAGAAGCAGACGAAGAGCAGATCGAGCTGGAAAGGTTTCATTCCTTAGCGCGGCGAGGGGAAGCCGGCGGGGCAACTTGGGTTTGCAGTTAGTTTCTCTTCCTCGGCGGCTCGTGCTGCTCAGCCTCCGCCGTGGTCCTCGCGGGTTCGCGCCGACCATCTGTCTGTCCGTGGGTTCCTCCGGGCGGCCTCCGTCTCTGTGCCTCGGCGTATCCGCAGCCAGCCAGGACAAGTTGCCTGTGTCTAGCCTCGGGAAGCCGGGATCCTCAGCTCATCCCCTCTCGGAGCAGATCCATTCTCTGGCTCTCGGCATCCCAGGCACACAGCTTCCTCCGGCGGGCTCCTCCCACAGCGAGCGAGGGAGCGAGGGAGCGAGTGACGAGTGACAGAAGGGCTCCTTTCACTGAAGCTGGGGCGGGGGGAGAGGGAGGAGAAACAGGTCATAATTAAAGAGGAAACACTTGGAAAAAGGAGATCTATGCAAAACGGAGGGTGAGGGGCAAGGCTCCCTTCTTCCTTTCCCGTGCTCCCCCTCCACACTAAATAGGGGAAAATCCAGCCTTTGTTACTGTTATTGACCAAAAGGCATGTTGAACAGGGAGCTGAGCTGTGACTTTTTGTCCACACGATATCATGTTGTTTTGTGGGAGAGAAGTTAAGGATGACAATATTCAAGCACACAAATTACAATATGCATGCTTTGCTATTGTACCAGGGACTGGAAACTGGGCTGAGAGGGAAAAAAGAAAGAGGGAAAGGGGGATGGATGTGTGGTGTGTGTGTGTGAGTGTGTGAGTGTGTGTGTGTGTGTGTGTGTGTGTGTGTGTGTGTAACATCTTTCCCCAGAAAGGACTTGACCATTGTGTACAGAGGGAGTTTGGAGTTGGGGGACAGATAAGCATGCTTTGCATTTTGGAGACTTTCCTAGGAGGGGTAGGTAGATGATAGAAACTGAACGTTTGGACCCTTGTTTGCTTTGCTCAACTCACCGGAATCAAAATGAAGGAATTGGAGGGAAAACAAGTAGATGCTGACACGTGCCCATTTATTATGATTATTGTTCTGCTTTGTGCATTTCCTAACAAGGGTAGGAGAGCAGCTTGTCTCTGCATTTGGAGCCTGTATTCTAAGGTGCACTCTTTCACTCTGGGAGTATCTTTTTCTCCAAGAAGTGCTGTGAATCCTACTGCAAAGGAGAGGCCAAGGTCATTGGCAACTGCCTCCTGAGAACCTTCAGGTCTTTTACCTGTCATGAAACCCACATTCAAATCAAACTCTCTTTCCTTCAGGATATCAGGGTGAATTTATCTAGGTCTGTTTACTTGACAGACACTTAGAGGTGCCTGGTTTAAACAGGGCATTGGGCAACATAAAACCATAGGCACAGACCATGCCTTCAGAACGCGTCATTTCATGGGGAGGCAGAGCATTCACATAAGACACAAACTATAAGGATAGTTCTGAAACAAGTATAAAAATATGCAGCATTATACAGAAGAAAGGGTGGTAATGAGTAAGGAGAGGGGAATGAAAGATGCTCTCTACTTGTGTTATTCAATTATAAAATCAATCATTACTTTCTTCAGCTATAGACCAGAGGGAAGTCTTCTGGGGATCCCTTAGCCTTTCTTCCATCTGTACTACATACTTGGGGGTCTTGGCTGGCTGCAAGGCACATTCCAACTCCCAGCGTCGACGTGGATGTTAACTTTAAAAACTTATCCCTTGGTATTTATGAACAAGAAAGGGAGAAGAGAAGTAGGGCGAATGTGAAAGTGTGTGCAGGCAGGAGCTGGCATCTGGAAGCTGACATCAAAGATCTACAAATTAGTAGATGTCTGCTTTGTTGACTTTTCTATTCTTAACTTAATAGTTTATTTAACTGCATCCCTTAGAGGCTGTTAAACATATCAAAGGGAAATTTGTAAGCAAGCTTTGGTTGGGGGGGCGGGGAGGTGAACCGCCAAGCAACAGAAAGGAAAAGAACCCTAAAGAGGCACCGGTTCAGCTACATTCACAACAGGGCACAGAAGCAGTGTGTGGGTACAGTCTTAGTCCAGTGACAATGCAATGAAACAGAAACATACAAAAGCTGAATAATAATTCTAAATAACATATGCCAAATAACAGAAATGAAAATACAGCATGTATAGTCTGAAACTTTAGTAGTAGCTTTCTATGAAGTCTATGAGAGTGGGGAGACATTTAAGGTCTGGGTACCATTCCTAAGGTCAAATCTTGCAATGAATAAGATGAATACTACCAGACTGTAGACAGGACCTTACAAAGCAACATTTCTTGCTTTAATGAAACATCCTTTAAACTGGTGTTTAATTTTGATTGCTAATGCCTAAGTGGCCTGGGGCCCGGATTTGCTTAATTCAGCCCTCCGGGGAAATATTACCACACCAGGGTCATGAGCAAATGAACTGAGCAATATATGAAAATTAGGCCACATAAGGTGTTTCACACACACACTCACTCGCTCGCTCGCTCACTCACTCACTCGGGCAGGAGCAGATGGGTGGTGGGAATTCCGGGTTGGGAAGACCATGCTTCGCTTTCCCACTGGTCCAGTAGACCACAAACTGGCTCCCATTTCCCCAGCCAGCTGGACCTGTTCCCTTCCCCATCCCCTTTGCCCCTCCACCCCCACCCCACCTGCAGCCCCAGGTCCCTGGCAGAACGGCAAATAAAGCTTCGATTAAGTGGTGAGCTGCTTGCCTCTAAAAGAAACGGGAGGCGTTTCAACCCTGAGTGCCCGAAAAACCACGGCAATCTTCGGCAGCCACCACGTGGGGCAGGGAGAACGACAGCGGTACCTGCAGCACCCACAGCCGGCTACGCTCTGGCGCCAGCCTCGACGGCGGCCCCGCCATCTCCGCCCCGGCGGTCCTCGGCCTCACTTCCTCCGGGGGCTCGGTTAACCTCCAGGCGCTGCAAGGTGCCTGCGCGCGGTTCGCCCGCGAGCGGAGAGGAGGGAGGCGGCGCGGAGCGGACGGCTCCACCTGATGGAGGAGCGTGGAGTCTTAGACCTGGGAGCGCGCGGCGAGGGGACCGCACGGCCCGGAGCGGGAGCGGGAGGACCGCCGCCCCCGGTGGGAGCCACCTCGGGCTGCGAGCGGGAGACCCGGGCTCCGGGCACGGCCCGTGGAGGTGGCAGCCCTTAAGAGAGCAGAAAACCAGCAAGCACCCTGGGAAACCACCCGAATTCTTGTTTGCTGAAGATTGCAGGCTCCGGGTCTCTGTGCGCCCACCGTGCAAGTCGGGGTCCATCACCAGCAGGTGGCATCCTCTCCAGCGTTTCTTCTCCCGGTCTGCAGCCCGGAAGGCAGAATTTCTCAGACCCCAGCCCCCCTTTCCAGGCTTTCAGTGCCAAGGGCCCAGTCCTTTGAACCACCCTGCCCCGGAGCAAGGTCTGGGGGGGGGGGGCTAGGCTGTTGAGGGGGGTGGGGGAAGGGAGACCTGGATCTCCGAGAGCTAGGTGAGGCTGGCTCCACAGAGAAAGAGAGTTGGCTTGCTGGCCAAGAAGTTCCAGAAGGACAAATCTCCACCCTATAGTGTTCAAGACCTGGCAGGCCCCCTAAATTTTTGAGTTGGAACACAGAATATGACCCCAGGTGTGTGTCCAGGTGCAGGAATGTAGGGGCCTGAAGAGGCTGATGTCATTCACATCATGCACATGTCAGATGTCTGTGAAATTTGTTATTCCCTCCATTTGTGCAAAAACCGAATTGCGGTACTTAATAAAGACACGTGGAATGACCCCATGAGCTCCTGTTTCTGAGTTTCTCCCATAACTGTGTTAAGTATACATAGGTATAGACATGAAAATTTTTTTTCATGGAACATCTCATTGACTTTTTAATAAGACAGAAATCACCCTGTAGGTCATCAGTCAGGCTCATGTCTTTCTTGATGAATCCTTCCTGTCTGCTTGCCTGAGGCCCTACAGGAAGCTGCGGGACTGGGATGTAGCCCTGAGTCCCAGCAGTCTCTTGTCCTGCCCTCCTGGGCTCTCTGGCTCACTATCTTTCTGTGTTCAGGAGGTACTTTACCACCAATGTGGGGGTGGGGTGGGGCAGAGTTGCTGTTTATGAGCTGGGTGGCCATTGTGAGTGCAGTTTCCTGCCTAATGCCTCTTCACAATATTTGTTCCACAGCTACATTATAAACCACATTTCCTTTCCTTTTTCATCTATCCTGCCAGTGCTGGTTAAAACCTCCTTGTCCAGGGATTTAAACACATTTCCAATAGCCCCCCTCCTGGGAGTTCAGGGTAATCTGACTCTCCCATCCTGGATAAGTTAATAAGGGCTCCCAGCTACATCTACTTCCGGAGACCAAATGGTCTTCAGAGGTCCTACCTGGGTGGCGGCCTGTCTGACCTTGGCAGCCACAATCTTCAAGCCCATTTCTTTTTCATTTATCTGAACAAATTTCTTGCTCACATCCCTGTAGGTGGATTATAAAACCTTAGCCCCTGTTCACTGTGGTCTGTCTTGCCATAGAGGTGTGAAAGGCACAAAGATCACGGTAGATATCTGGCTTTCAGAAGCATCCCCACAAAGGCAGGGTGAGTCTGCCCAGCCATCCTCCCAAGGCCAGGCCTGGGTGAAGGGGTAGTAGGCAGAATTTTGCACTGGGCTCCAACCTACACACTGCTAACTCAGGTAGCCACTTCAGGGAACTGGACATATTTTTCACCTATAAAATATTGGCAAGAGCGAGACAGTGACTATCTGGGTTCCTTCCCAATCCTCAAATTCTGTCTGTTTCCAGAGGCCACCCCACTAGGCTTGGAGAGGCTGGGGTGCTTTCCCAGCACCCTCACTGGCTGTTTCCCACTGCCAGGAAATCAGGTGGCAACCTGGAAACTGCATGAACCCCTTTGCCCTCATGGGTTCTGACTTCCCCTCACCCCCAAAATGTTTCAAGTTCATTCTGTTCCAAATGCCCTTCATCTCTCCTCCACCTGGGATTTCCCTCCTCTTTTCATTTGCCCAAAAGCAGACCCCATGTCCAAATTGTGGCCTTGTTCTAGGAAAATGTTCTGGGTTCCAGAACAGATTTTCTTCAATGTGCATTCTACAATTGCACAGGATGCCAAACTTTCATTAAAGAAAGGGAATGATGCCACTAGGGTGGCTAATTGTAAAGACTCCCTTTCGAGGCAAGGATCTTGGCAACCTAGTATTTTTTTTTTTATAAAGATTTATTTATTTGTGCATACAGAACTGGGGTACAGGCCAGAGGCTCAGGGGAGGCGAGAGGCTTTACCAGAGACAGAGTGGGGAGCAGAACAGGCATATGGACGAAGTACACTTGCTGAGGTGGGTCAGGAGAGCTATGTGCCGTGCTATGTGCTCACCTCCCGGGCAGGCGGGAATCAAACTCATGCAGAGGTGGTTTTAGCTTCTCAGTGCTGTGCTTTAACCTGCTGCACCACCAGGGAGGGCCGGCAACCCTGTATTTTAATTCAATGTTCACGTGATTCATAGGTGGCTGTAACATGTGTCTGTCACATCTGTATCCTGGAAGCTCCATTAGGGCATAAGCCACATCACACATGTGCCCTCGCTCCTACCACATAGGGTATGCAGCAGACACGCGGTACGCACTGCAGAATGAATGGTGGAGCTTTTACCTCGTATCCCACACCCCACTTCCTGCTTTTCGAATCCAATTTCACTTATTCTTCACTGTTATTAGACCATTGTCAAACATCTGGCATGTGCCTGCCATTGCTCTGGCTGTATTTTATGGGGATGGGTAATGAATCAAGCCTATATATAGTTTGCAAAATGTGGAACACACTTTAAGATGCAGAGCACTATAGAAATGAAAGATATTTTTATCTCTTCAGCATTATTTTGCACAAGAAGACAATTCTCTGGCAGCTCTGTTTAAGAACAATAGACCTGTTTAGCCTTGACACACTCACGCATGCAGGGCACTGGGTATTCAATTCACATGGGAGCAGCATGATCTCTCTCAGCAAAGGCCTGAAGAGTGTATAATTTACAGGGAAGAAAAGATACGAGAGGCATTATGAAAGGAGGTGACAGTGCCCATGCCTGGCCAGATCGCTGGCTGAGGGTACAGGCCAGACCCTTCACCATTTACCAGGGATGGCACCCAAGGGAAGCCTTAGCCTCCTCTTCAGGGCCTGCAACAAGTCTATGGCATTCTGAAGTATGCCATGTGCTCTTTTTGTGTATATGAATAGGATAATTATGTGGAAAATATTGGAAGACAAAGTGAAATTCCAGTTTATGACTCATTTGTGGTATTCAAAGTCTTAGAAATGATACCACATGTACTCTCTCTCCATTCTTCTTTTTTATGCCGTCTCTCCCCCCACCCCCCTCACTCACACACTCACACACACACAGGCCAATCTTATCAATTCGTAAATTTTATAGCAGCTAAGGTAGCAGTTGCACCTCACTTGAAGTCTCTTTAAGCTTTCTTCCTAAATGACAAACTTCACGTTCTCTTTTCTGTTTATTGTATAATGTGTTTTCCTTCCTGCCTGCCTGTCTTCCTGCCTTTTTGCCTTCCTGCTTCCTGACCTCTTACCTTCCTATCTGTCCCCCTTCCCACCTCATAATAAACTTATATAAGCAGGTTTTCTCTGCTATTTGAAAGGAGTGTTCCTATGAAATTTTTCTTAAACAGAAATGGCATACAATGACATACACTGCTGTTGACTTACATGGAAGTTTTTTTCAGCATTCCCAGACCCCAAAAATAACCTATAAAATTGCACCATAATAACGTAGAAACTTGAAAAAAATACTGACATATAGTAAAAGCAGGAATGAGATGATAAATGTAGTCTGCATAGAGTAGAAACGATGTAGGCACCTGGTGGCAGACTCCTCACTTACCAGCATGAGAAGACAGCACCGGGCGGGGGCGGAGTGGGGGGTGTCAGGCTGAGTGAGTCCTTGCTGGTTCGGATGGGGGAGTCAGGAGACCAGGTGTAGGACACCTAAGAGTTGATGCTCGAACTCAGTTCAAAGCTGAGAAGTTCCATGTCCAGAGGCAGAATCTAGTTCCAGGTCCTCTGACCAGCGCAGCTTCTGGAACCACTGTGAGACACTGACCTTTTGCCTTGTAAAAGCCAAACCCTCTTTCTTCAGGTTGTAAAATGCGCACTGACGAAGGTCTTTCATAAAACTGAAGGCATGTTTTCCACACTTTTGAAAAGTAGGAGACACCTGTAAAGGTAAACAGGGATGTGAACTTTATGCATGTAATTGAATATTATTCTGTTTTTTTAATGTTATGTGAGTTTGGCTAGATCTAAAACTTCACACACACACACACACACACACACACACATAAAACTTTCACAAGCATATATATAACTTTCATCTTAGCATGGACGCCGAGAGCCTTGACTGAAGTCGTCTTCGGTCAGGACTGAAGTCCTGAGCTAAGGCCAGGCTCCATCTCATCTCTGCCTGCACTCAGAACCTCCTCCACTCCTGGCCATGTATGCAGACATACAAGTTCCCTCTCGACTTTTTTTGGCTTGATATCCCACACATTTGTCTGTTTGAAATTCAGTTCTGTAATATCTTCCCCCTGTTTGAAAATGTGAATGGTTCTCTAGAGACCCTAATGGCTTTTTAAAAAAGAATTTCTTTGGGCTCTCCCTAGTGGTACAATAGGTTAAAACAGCACACTATGAAGTTCTCAGAAGTCACAGCAGCACAAGTTGGATCCCCAGCCAGGGAGGTGACCCACATGGCACAGCAGACCTCTCCTGCCCCACCTGCTGCTCCCCTCAGCAGTGTATTTCAGTAGATCTGCCTGTTCTGTTCCCCACTCTGTCTATGACGAATCCTCTCACCCACCACACCTCTGACCTGTACCCCAGTTCTGTAAG